GGATAAAACAAGCAACATAAAATTATAACAACCCACCGTCAACACATGCTAAAATCAAAATAATCCAATTTTAAAACAACAAACGAACTGCCATCAATTCACAGGTGGCAAGTGTCAGCATCATAGATGCCAATGACCAGGGCGAGGGGGTACAGGCCTCCTGGGACTAAAACAGGGGGGCTGCCCTATTTGTTTATTTACGTTTATATCCCACCCTTCTCACCCTGAAGGGGACTCAGAGAGGCTTACAAGTTATATGTATGTACAATATATTATATTATTAGCATAACATAATATTAGAATGCTATATTACTATGTATATATTACTATGTATTCTGGTTACATCCCGCCTTGATTACTGCAACGCTCTCTACGTGGGGTTGCCTTTGAAGACAGTCCGGAAGCTCCAACTAGTCCAACGGGCGGCAGCCATGGTACTAACAGGAGCGGGGCGCAGGGAGCACACAACTCCTCTGCTGCACCAGCTCCACTGGCTGCCGATATGCTACCGGGCTCAATTCAAAGTGCTGGTTTTGGCCTTTAAAGCCCTAAACGGTTCTGGCCCAACTTATCTATCCGAACGTATCTCAGCCTATCAGCCCACCAGGACCCTAAGATCTTCTGGAGAGTCCCTGCTCTCTATCCCACCGGCTTCCCAAGTGCGGCTGGCGGGAACGAGAGACAGGGCCTTCTCTGTGGTGGCCCCTCGGCTTTGGAACACCCTCCCTATAGAGATACGATCAGCCTCTTCGCTGATGGTCTTTCGGAAGAGATTAAAAACATGGTTGTGTAAACAAGCATTCAATTAGTTTGTTACTATTGAATTTATAGACTAAGGACTGGTTAACTATGGATGACGAACTCTGGACTGTGATTTTTTGTGACGAGAAGCATGGTATTATTATTGGTGGCCCAATAATTTGTATTGTTTACGTGTTGTTGTTTTAAATTTGTACATTGCTTTTAATTGCTGTAAACCGCAATGAGTCGCCGATTTAGGCTGAGATATTAGCGGTATACAAGTGTATTAAATAAATAAATAAATTTTACACTTGTCGGAGGCTTTCATGGCCAGAATCACTGGGTTGTTGTAGGTTTTTTCGGGCTATATGGCCATGTTCTAGAGGCATTCTCTCCTGACGTGTCGCCTGCATCTATGGCAAGCATTCCAACAGACCTCACTACCTCTGAGGATGCTTGCCGCAGATGCAGGCAAAACGTCAGGAGAGAATGCCTCTAGACCATGGCCATATAGCCCAAAAAAACCTACAACAACCCAGATAAAAATATATTGTACTATACTGCAATAATATTTGTAATATTACATATAATATATAATATACAATTATTATATTGTATTATTATTAGATTGTAGTACATTACAATATTATTATCATTATTTCATGTAAATACCATATATTATATTATTAGAATAACATAATATTAATATTATTGTACTATACTGAAATATTATTTATAATATTGACTATAATATACAACTATTATATTGTATTATTATTAGTTTTATATTGTATTACATTACAATATTGCTATCAATATTATATGTATACACAATATATTATATTATTAGCATAGCACAATATTTATATAACATATTAGTATATTGTTGCTGAGGGGAGAGGCTCCCAACTGATGACCCTATTGTCCACACTGTATGTCATTTTAGGCTTCCTCTGCTCCCCCAACCTTGACCTTTGGTGAGGCCTTTTGGGGAATGCAGTCCAAAACATTGGGAGGGAGAAAGTAGGAGAAGCATCTGGCGAGAGATTCCGGTCCGGAGGGAGGGCCAGGCCACAGAGGAAACAAGGCCTGGCTCCACTTTGGGAAGGTCAGAGAGAAAGGCCTCCCAGGAGCAGAGCGCCTCCACTGAAGAGGCCATGCCCTTGCCGGCCCTCCCTGTCCCAACAGTAGCCAAAGGCTCCCCCTCCTCCCTTGTTCCCTCCCCAAACCAGCCCTCCGGGCCCCTTTACCGGCAGCTGGAGTGAGCGGGCCCAGACAACAAAGGGAGCTCCTCTGGGTGCCTCCCTGCCTGCCTCCTCCGGTGTTGTTGATGTCTGCGCTTGGGGTGGGGGAGGGAGGAGGGAGGGAGGAGGGTGCCGGCCAGTGGCCCCTCCCCTCCCCACGTCCCAAGAGGCCTGAGTCACACAGGCCGGTCAGGCCAAGAAGAAGGCCCAGCTGGACACAGGAGGAGGAGCAAGGCCGCAAGCAGAGGCCTCCCGTCACCTCTGAGGCAGCAAAAACACAAAGCGCCCCCCGGGTGAAGAATGTTCCCCCCTCCCCGCATTCCAGCTCCTCCCATGACCCCAGGCAGGTGCAGGCCAGAGAGAGAGAGAGAGGAGGCCCAGGACAACTAAAAATACTCCACCGGTCAGCAGCAAGTGGCATAAACAACCCAAGATGGGTAGGTAAACATGTGGGGTGGGGGCGAGGAGAAGAGGAGTCCCTGAGCCTCCTGGCTTTTGCCTTTGCTGGACCCTGGGCAGAAGAGACACTCCAGTGTCCATCCAAACCAGGCATGAGCAAACCTTGTACCGCCAGGTGTATTGGACTCCAACTCCCACAATTCCTAACAGCTGGTAAACACCTGGAGGGCCAAAGTTTGCCCATTCCTGATCTAAACCCACTGAGCCACCTTTTCTGTGGTGGCCCCCCGACTCTGGAACACCCTCCCCAAAGATCTTAGACAGGCCCCTACATTGGCAGTCTTTAGAAAGAACCTGAAGACTTGGCTGTTCCAATGTGCCTTTCCAGAATAGGAATCCTCCAACAACAAGTCCCAGAAGCACTTTAGTAGAAATTAAGATTGCTGGCACACTGCACTTACCCCATAATCCTTACATACCACTTGTCAGGTCAACACTTTTAATCTGTACCCATTACTCTGGCCTGGCCCAGTTTTATTGCGTCCTGGTGTATTGTTTTATTGCTTGTTGTTTAATATTGCTTTAACTGTTTTTAATTTGCCTTAGGTTGTGTATTGTTATGTTGTGTGTTGAGGCCTTGGCCTTTGTAAGCCGCATCAAGTCCTTTGGAAGATGCTAGCGGGGTACAAATAAAGTTAATAATAATAATAATAATAATAATAATCGAGCAGGAGGCAAGGAGAGAGGGACAATCCCTCTCCTTGCCTTTGGAGATTAACTACAGCGCAATAATCGCTACGGAATTATGTGCAATGACTTTGGGAACAGCCCTGGATTACGACTGTGGAGGACGTGATTTCTAAATAGTGACTGTAACATTCTATATGTCTTTAATGTGTATTTAATTTTAAATCTTATATTTTAACTGTTTGTTGTTCAAAGGCATGGAGTAGCCTTCTTCTCTGTGGCCCCCAGACTCTGGAACTCATTGCCCGGTGAGATTAGGCAAGCCCCCACCTTAGCAGCTTTCAAGAAGGACCTTTAAACCTGGCTTTTGGAGAGTAACTCTACAATTATACGTTGCTGTGCCTCCTCAATGTTTGTCCCTATAGCACGCTCCCACTGCCCGTTTGAAGGCCTGTTTTTATGATCCTATTTTTATGAGACTCTCACTCACAAATAATCTGCTCCACTTCTATCTCACCCTGAGTTTTTAGCATTTTATCTTGTACATGTGGCCCGCTCATTGTCATTGTGAATGATTGTTCATTATATTTTTGTATTGCTTACTGTACTTTTATGTTTTATTAATTTTATTGTGTTGGTTGTTCTCTGCTTCGGTTTTTATTTTATAGTAATGCACTGTTGGGCTTGGCCTCATGTAAGTCACCCCGAATCCCCGTTGGGGAGATGGTGGCAGGGTATAAATAAAGATTATTATTATTATTATTATTATTGGGTTATTGTAGGTTTTTTAGGGCTATATGGCCATGGTCTAGAGGCATTCTCTCCTGACATTTTGCATGCATCTATGGCAAGCATCCTCAGAGGTTGTGAGGTCCAACCTCACAACCTCTAAGGATGCCTGCCATAGATGCAGGCAAAACGTCAGGAGAGAATGCCTCTAGACCATGGCCATATCGCCCAAAAAAACCTACAACAACCCAGTGATTCTGGCCATGAAAGCCTTCGACAATATATTATTATTATTATTATTATTATTATTATTATATGTCAAAATAGCCATGTGTGTCAGTGCTGACACGCATGTCATAGGTTCACCATCATGGAAATAGAACATTATTCTATGCTAATGATATAATATACTGTATCACAATATATTGTATATGCATATAATATGTGTAATATTATAATGTAATGCAATATAATACTACTATTAATAATATGATATAGTTATATATTTATATTATATGTAATATTACTAATAATATTACAATATAATGGTATAGTACAATATAGTAATATATAATACTGATATTGTACTATGCAATTAATATAATATATAGTACGTATATATATCTTGTAAGCCGCTCTGAGTCCTCTTTAGGGTGAGAAGGGCGGCATATCAATGTCATAAACAAACAAACAAACAATATAAAAGATATAATTATAATATCATATTATTAGTAGTAGTATTATATTGTATTGCATTATAAGTATTATAAATATTATAAATAGTATATGTATATACAATATTTTATATTCTAATTATTATATATGAGGTTGGCACCAAGGTGACTATTATAAATATTACATTATAAATATTATATGTTGTTGTTGTTCATTCGTTCAGGCGTCTCCGACTCTTTGTGACCTCACGGACCATCCCACGCCAGAGCTCCCTGTCGGCCGTCACCACCCCCAGGGTCTCCTTCAAGGTCAGTCCAGTCCCTTCAAGGATGCCATCCCTCCATCTTGCCCTTGGTCGGCCCCTCTTCCTTTTGCCTTCCACTTTCCCCAGCATCATTCCCTTCTCTAGGCTTTGCTGTCTCCTCATATACATATATTGTATATACATATATTATATGTACATACAATATATTATACTCTAATTATTACATAGGAGGTTGGCACCGAGGTGACTGCATAGGGTACCTGTGGGCCTCTTCCCCACTCCTCGGCTGTCTCCTCACTGCAGGGGGCTGTCTCCGGGCGACCCGGCGGGGCTTCTTGGTCCTCGTCTGCGCCGTTCTTTCCCTGCCGAGAAGGGCCACCTGCTCAGCCGAGGAGGAGCCTGAGCCTTGTGTGCGTCCCTCCGGGCGGCCCATCCACTGGCCCAAGGCCCCGGCCGAGGGTTGCGCAATGTCCCTGGCAGGGGAGAGAGAGGCAGCAGGCCTTCTAGGAACCTGTCCCTCCTCCTAGGAAAGGGCCCTGGACCTTTGCCAAGGCAGGAGAGGGCAACCCGACCCCGCGGCGCCTGGGCCCATGATGCCCCGCTGCGAAGGGCAAGGGGTTCTGGGCCAGGAGGCCGAAGAGGAGCTTCCTTCCGGAAGGAAGGCCCACTAATCCCCGGGGATCCCTTCAGCTGTGTCCCAGCACGACCCGGGAGCCGAGCCAGCGGGATCCGGGCACAAAGGGACTGTCCAAGCGGGGCTCTTCGGCCGAGTCTCCGGGATCCATCGCCCTCCAGCAGGAGACAGGCAGGGAGGAGGCCGAGCCCGGCCCAAAGGCCTCATCCGGCCAACAAGGCCTTCCGGGTCCAGATGGGCCTTCCTTTCGTGACGTCACGGCTTGTTTTCCTTCTCGGCCTCTTGGCAGGAAGTCCCGCCCCTCCCCTCGCCTCTTCCTTCTCGAAACCCCGCCCCTCTCCCCCTTGGCCCCGCCCCCTCCTRGTTCTTCTCTCGCATCTTTCGCGAAACCCCGCCCTTCTCCCCCTTGGCCCCGCCCCTCACCCCTTGCTTGCCTTTCTGGAAACCACGCCCCTCTCCGCCTTGGCACCACCCTCTCCTCTCCCCTCTAGCGTATCACTTCTCGAKACCCCGCCTTGGCCACGCCCCCTTTCCGCCTCTCTTGCGCGTCCTTCTCGACACCCCGCCCCTCTACGCCTTGGCCCCGCCCCCTCCTGCGTTCTCCTCACCTCTCGCGACCTTCAGGAAACCCCGCCCCTCTGCACCGTGGCCACGCCCCCTCCCGCGGCCTTCTCGAAACCCCGCCCCTCTCCGCCTTGGCCCCGCCTCCATCCCTTTCTTGCCTTTCTCGAAACCACGCCCCTCTGCGCTTTGGCCCCGCCCCCTTATCGGCCCTCCCGCGTCCTTCCCGAAACCCCGCCCCCTCCTGCTTGGCCCCGCCCCCTCCTCACCTCTTCCGCGCGGGGCATTGTGGGCGGGGCCGGCCATCGCTGCGGTTCCAACATGGCGCCGGGAGCGGGGTCGTGAGCGGCGGCAGTGGCGCCTTCTCGCCTCCTCCTGCTCCTCGTTCTCTTTGGCGGCCAGCGCCGCCCCCCGGCCGGGCCATGCTTCTCCGCCTTCTCTCGCTGGGGCCCCGCTGCGGGTGGCGCTGCTTCTCCCGTCCGCCCGCCCAGAGCCCTTTGGCCGTTGCCAGGTAACCGGCGCCCGCGCGGGGCAGCCTGGGAAAGGCCTCCCTCTTCCCCCCTCCCCATGGGAGGCCTCGCAAAGCACCCTGGGACTCGTAGTTCTCCCTCTCCCTCCAGAGAAGGAGAAGAAGGCCTTGCTTCCTGGAGGAATGGTGGGAGTTGAAGTCCAAAACACCTGGAGAGAGGGAGGGAGGGAGGGAGGGCCCAAGTTGGCCCAGGCCTGCTCTGGCTTCTCGGGAGGCATTTGCATCCCTTGTCATCCTTATAGTCACCTCACACCAGAAGCGACTTGCGGTTTCTCAAGTCGCTCCTGACACGAATATATATATATATATATACTGAGAGAGAGAGTAATTACACTCTGTCACACTATGATTTCTGTTCCTGGGTTATTTATTTGCAGCAATTTGATGCTGCAACAACAACAATACTTTATTGATACCCCGTCACCATCTCCCATAGGGACTCGGGGCGGCTTGCCAAATAGCAAAGCGCTCTACGTGGGGTTGCCTTTGAAGACGGCCCGGAAGCTTCAAATGGTCCAGCGTGCGGCAGCCAGGTTGCTAACAGGAGCAGGGCTCAGAGAGCACAAAGCTCCTCTGTTGCGCCAGCTCCACTGGCTGCCAGTCTGCTACCGGGCACAATTCGAAGTGCTGGCTTTAGCCTATAAAGCCCTAAACGGTTCTGGCCCAGCCTACCTATCCGAATGCATCTCTTCCTACGAACCCTCCAGGAAGTTAGGATCATCTGAGGAGGCCGTGCCTCCCTCTTCCCCCCTCCCATCCCCTCTGAGGATGCTTGCCATAGATGCAGGCAAAACGCCAGGAGGGAATGCTTCTAGAACATGGCCATATAGCCCGAAAAACTTACAACAACCCAACTTATTATTACTATTTATTTACAATATTTCTATCTTGTCTTTCTCATGCCCGAAGGCAACTCAAGGTAACTTACACATTAGCAGCAATTCATTGCCAAAACATCTCACAATATACAATTAAAACAGCCTTATAAAATCAATATTAAATCAATACAATACAAAAACCACTAAAAACATGTAATAAATATGGTTTTCTGTGGGCAAGCAGGTGGTGACTACTGGATGAAAGCCTTCGACAATACAGTAATAATAAGCCTCAGCACTATAAGAGGGTTTCGTGAGGCCACTCGCTCTTGTTGCAATGGTGTAGGAACAGTCAGACCATATTTTACTTCTTGTGGACCACTGGTGGTCTACAGACCACAAGTTTGGAACTACTGGTCTAAACATTATCAAATGCCTGCTGGAGAAAACCAGTTTTAGATGGAGGCGAACCATCAGGAGAGAATGCTTCTAGAACATGGCCATATAGCCTGAAAAACCTACAACAACCCAGTGATTCCGACCATGAAAGACTTCGACAGTACACATTTTTAACTCTTTCCTAAAATTTTGTAGTGTAAAGGCTTGTCTGACTTCCCTGGGGGGGGGGGGGATGTTCCAGAACCAGGGGGTCGCCACCGAGAAGGCCCTCTCCTTTGTACCCACCAATCGTGCTTGAGACTGAGGCAGAACCGAGAGGACTGTCTCCCTAGCAGATCTTAGAGCCCATGCTGGTTCATGGGGGGGGGGGGGGGGAGAGATGTGGTCTCAAGGACTCGAACAGTGTAGGTATTTACAGGTGATAACCTGCACTTTGAATTGGGACCAGTGGCATTGAGACCCATGTTGTGGGGTCTTCAACCAGGGCTTTGGGGTCAGATCCCAAAAGTAAAAAGCATTTCAAAGTGTGAATCAGAAACAGCAGATCAGAAGATTCTAGAACCGAGCAGTAGAACACTTCAGCACCAAGAATTGCTTATCTATGTAAGTGAGCTCCTGTCTGTCAGCCCCAGCTTCTCATGCGGGAACTTGAGAGAAACCTCCCAAAGGATGGTAACACATCCAGGCAATTTCCCCTGGGTAATGCCCTTGCAGATGGCCAATTCTCTCACACCAGAAGTTACTTTTAGTATATTCTTAATTCGCTTCTGATACAATAAAAAAATCTATATAGAAAAGTTAGGGCCTAGCTATCTAGTAGTAGTAGTAGTATTTATTTATTTATTTATTTACTACGCTTATATACCGCAATTCTCAGCCTACTGGCGACTCATTGTGGTGTAGTAGTAGTAGTAGTAGTAGTAGTAGTAGTAATAATAATCTTTATTTAATACCCCGCCACCATCTATCTCCCCAATGGGGACTCGGGGCGGCTTACATGACGCCAAGCCCAATGGCATATTACAATAAAGTAAAACCAAAACACAATAACAACACAGAAAAATACATACAGCATATGAGTACAAAGACGATAAAGCAAAATCATACACAGTAAAATAACATAACATAACAATGAGTGGGCCGCATATGCAAGATAAAAACTAAGATACTAAAAATACTAAAATCAGGATGAGATAGGGATGGGGCAGCTTTTTTGTGGAGGAGAAACTATCTACCTGGTTCTCTGAAGCTGGCATCTTGTCTCTCTCCATGCTCACAGGAGGACAAAATGGAGGACGTGTCTTGCCATGTGGCTGAAACTTGAATAAAAAGAGGTGTGCCCCTGAGAAGTAGCAAAGGGGGAAGAATGACTTCCTCTGCCCACTCACTTATTTGCTCGTCTGTTTCCTTGTTGAGGACTGCAAACTTGTGCAGGATGTGGCCGGTTCCGGTATGGCGGCCGGCAACAAAATGAAGGGCTGCACCGATTAAAAAATTAAATCCGGAGCAATCCAAGGCGACCCCACCCCGGACCACTCTAAAACTGACGAGGGAGAGACCCAGATCCATCGCGGGTCCGGCAGAGGGGTCTGGGAGCCGAGGAACCCAGGAGGAAGGAGTGAGGAGCGGGGGAAGGTAGAGGAAGACGAGGGAGCGCCGCCATTGCAACGCGGCTGGCTCCCTTCCCAACAAGATCTACAGCCTCACCTGGTGAGTGGTTGGTGCTCAGGCCGCCCCCTCGGAACACCAAGAAAGGCCGAGCCTACCCGTCGCTTGTGCCGCCGTTACCAAGATCGCTGCGGTCGAGCATTGGGAGGGGACGCTGCCCGGCCGACGCCATTGCCGAGGCTGCCGAGGAGGCCCCTTTGCTGCTGCGCCAACCCGCGGCTGAACTGTGCTCCGCTCTGCCGCACTGGTGCTGCCGCCCCTGGCGCTTGGCCTCGTTCCGGCCCGCTTCGGCTGCAGCTCACGCTGGCTGGCGCCCTGCTGCCTCGGAAGCTCCGGAGGACGGCCTAACGCCCGAACAGCGCGCCGTGCTCCGATCGCGCCGCGCCATCGCCCTGGTGTTGGACTCGGCGTTGGCCTGGCCTGGTCCCCGATTTCGGCTGGCGTCCCTGGGGTGAGTGGGCGGGACCGTCGGAGGTGCAGGCGGCATTGCTGCGCCGATATTGTTCCGGCGGCTCCTGACCCGGAAAGGGGGTGATTCCCCCCCCCCCAACAGTGCACTGCTCTATCTCGGTGCAAGCTGGTCGCTGGTGCAGGCTGGTCGCGGCCTAGTTCCAGGCAGAGGTTCGAGTGCGACCAAGGGGGTTGGCACTTCGCCTGCATTACCATCGATGGCCCCTGGGGGCCGACAGCGTCTGCTGCCGACACCTGTGTTGATCGATCTGCGTTGTCTGTCTATAGGACTGTGTTGACCAGCCAACAAACCACCTGTGCCAACCGACTGTGCTGCCCAATTTTGATACACTGACCACCTGTGTTGACCGCCCATCTGTGCTGACCGACCACCTGTGTTGACCATCTCCGGAAGGACCAACTAGAAATTTGTGTTGTTGTGAGGTGATGTGTGGTATGAGTGGAGTTGTGTGATGGGGGTGTGAGTAGTTGTGCGGTGTATGTGAGATTGCTAGATGCATGTGAGAAGCTGCGTGTTTACATGCTACGGCTAATTGAATAACCTTTTACAGAGTTCCATTCCAAAGGACGGGACATTCATTCCTCCCATATTGCCCTTTTGGCCAGAATAGAGGTGCAAATAACATCTATTATACAGTGGACAACTTGCAAACTGTGCTGCTAATTAGCAATAATTGCATATACTGGCTTCATTACGCGACTAACATCTGTTCTGCCGGATCATTTCCAACCAAGACGGCCTAGAAGAACCGGAGACCTGACCCTGGGTGCCGGCTTGTTGCTCCACGGGCCAAGGGAAGTGGGTCTCCTGGTGCGAAATTGCCGGTCTTGACTTATTGACTGGAAAGTGAAATTAATTAATTAATTAATTAATTATCTATAGAAGTCAGTAAATTCCACATTGTTGCACTTTAGAACTACCTCAGCACGAAGTCACTTTAAGCTAAGCACTTTAGATCCTCTGCCAGAATCCATATCATCACTAAACGGTCCAGAGTGTCAGGCTAAGGGGTCACAACAATTGCACTTTACGTTCTGTACCCTGGGTCCCTATATTATTAATTGGAGTTGTACACTTATTGTTATCATCAGTATATTATCTCTATGTCAATGTTTACCCTAGCCCTACCTTTGCTGCTATTGATATCCCTCCAAGTTCCAGCACAAGTGCACTTTTCAACAATCTTGGCACAAGTGCACTTTAGACCAACTTCAGCACAAATACACTCCATAGCTTTTAATACACTGGAGGGAACAGACAGCATTAATAGGTGGGAAGATTGGGACCCAAAGACAGCTAATCAGAACTTCAATTATATACCTACTACAGAGATTACAATTGCTGTAAACAGAGGGAACGCCCCCGGGGGGGGGGGGACTGCGGGTGGGGGAACTGCTATAGAGGTGGTGACTGGTAGAGGGAGATACGGGAAAGGGAGAACAAAATTTCCATCTTGGCCCAAAATTGATAGCAATAATTTGACAACTTCTAAAGATGCTAGAAATCGTAGACAGAAGCAAATTCGGCCCAAAATTTTCAATAGGACATTGGCAATTCCAAAAAGAAACACTTTGATCCGGCCCGAAATTAAGAATAGATTGGCAATTCCAAAACCTACTCCCGACAAAATACAACTGAGGTGCCAGGATGGTGGCCCCTCCAAGCTAAAGGTGGTGCTGTTCAATGCCAGGTCAGTTAACGGAAAAACCTCCATTATTCAAGATCTAATCCAAGAAGAACGAGCTGACCTGGCTTGTATAACAGAAACCTGGCTGGACGAGGGGGGAGGGGTTAATCTCTCCCAACTCTGTCCACCAGGCTACTCTGTTCAGCACCAACCAAGGCTTGGAGGGCGGGGAGGCGGAGTCGCAGTGGTCTATAAGGATTTTATTCCACTGATCAGGCGTCCCATCCCACAATCATCTTCCTTCGAATGTGCCGGCTTTAGGATAGGTGACCGGGACAGGATAGGGATTCTGTTAGTGTACCGACCACCCCGCTGCACTACAGTCTCCTTACCTGAGCTAGCAGGAGTGGTCTCGGACATGGCGTTGAACTCCCAACGGCTCCTGGTCTTGGGAGATTTCAATATCCATGCCGAGGCCTCTCTTTCTGGTGCGGCTCAGGACTTCATGGCCGCCATGGCAACCATGGGCCTGTCCCAACTAATATCTGGTCCCACCCATAGTGCCGGACACACTTTGGATTTGGTCTTCGGCCAGGGATGGGATGAGGGTGACGGGATGGAGGAGCCGACCATCGCCCCATTGCCATGGACCGATCACCACCTGATCAGTTTTAGCCTAACTGGGCCTCCTAACCTCCGCAGGGGTGGTGGACCCATTAGAATGGTCCACCCCAGGAGACTTATGGATCCAAATGGATTTCCTGACGGCCCTTGGGGATTTTTCCACCTCCTTGGCTAGCGACTCTGTCGACGCTCTGGTCTCTAGCTGGAACAGTGAGTTGTCCAGGGCAATCGACACTATCGCTCCGGAACGCCCCCTCTCGAGTAACCGAGCTAAACCAGCCTCTTGGTTCTACCGAGGAGCTGGCAGCGATGAAGCGAAAGAAGAGGAGGTTAGAGTGCGTGTGGCGCCAGAATCCCACCAATCCAGCCCAAACACACCTGAATGCCTTTTTAAGGTCCTACGGTGTGGCAATAGCGGCAGCTCAGAAAACATTCATCACAGCCAATATTGCATCCGCGAAGAATCGTCCGGCTGAGCTTTTCCGAGTTGTCAGGGGCCTGTTAAATCCGCCAAAATGCGAGGCCTCGGATAACTCGGTGGCCCGCTGTGAAGCATTTGCTCGATTCTTCACGGATAAAATTGAGCGGATTCGGTCAGGTTTTGACGTCATGTTAACGGCAGTCTCTGGGGATGTAACGAGAGCATCTGCTTGTCCAGTTTTGTTGGATTCTTTTCAATTGGTTCAGCTTGAGGATGTGGACAGGATCCTTGGAGAGGTGCGACCCACCACATGCATCCTAGACCCCTGCCCTTCCTGGCTGATCAAGGAAGCCAGAGGGGGTTTGGCAGAGTGGGTGAAGGTGATGGTTAATGCCTCCTTACAGGAAGGAAAATTTCCAGCGAGCTTAAAACAAGCTATTATAAAACCGCTGTTGAAGAAATCATCACTGGATCCCACTCAATTTGACAACTATCGGCCTGTTTCCAATCTCCCCTATTTGGGCAAAGTCATGGAACATGTGGTGGCTTCACAACTCCAGGGGTTCTTGGTAGACACTGATTATCTAGATCCGGCACAGTCTGGCTTTAGGCTGGGACATGGTACCAAAACAGCCTTGGTCGCCTTAGTAGATGATCTTCGCCAGGAACTAGACAGGGGGAGTGTGTCCCTGTTGTTTCTGCTGGACCTCTCAGTGGCCTTCGATACAGTCCACCACGGTATCCTCCTGGGACGCCTCATAGATATGGGGCTCGGGGGCACTGCCTTGCAGTGGCTCCGATCCTTTCTTGAGGGACGGTCCCAGAAGGTGTCTTTGGGTGACACTTGTTCGGCTCCACAACCGTTGTTGTGTGGAGTCCCACAAGGTTCAATCTTGTCCCCGATGTTATTTAACATCTACATGAAGCCGCTGGGGGAGATCATTCGGAGTTTCGGAATGAGATGTTATCTCTATGCAGATGATGTCCAAATCTGTCACTCCTTCCCACCTGTCACCAAGGAGGCTGTCCACCAAGGAGGCTGTCCAGACCTGCTGTGTCGGACTGGATGAGAGCTAACAAATTGAAATTGAATCCAGACAAGACAGAGGTCCTACTGGTCAGTCGCAAGGCCGAACAGGGTATAGGGTTACAGCCTGTGTTGACGGGGTTACACTCCCCCTGAAGACGCAGGTTCGCAGCTTGGGAGTGATCCTGGACTCATCGCTGAGCCTGGAACCCCAGGTCTCAGCGGTGGCCGGGAGAGCTTTCGCACAATTAAAACTTGTGCGCCAGCTGCGCCCGTACCTTGGGAAGTCTGATCTGGCCACGGTGGTCCACGCTCTTGTCACATCCCGGTTGGATTACTGCAACGCACTCTACGTGGGGTTGCCTTTGAAGACTGCTCGGAAACTGCAATTAGTCCAGCGAGAAGCAGCCAGATTGCTCACCGGAGCAGCGTACAGGGAGCATACCACCCCCCTGTTGCGCCAGCTCCACTGGCTGCCGATCCAATTCCGAGCACAATTCAAAGTGCTGGTTTTGACCTACAAAACCCTATACGGTTCCGGCCCAGTGTATTTGTCCGAACGGATCTCCCTCTACATCCCACCTCGAAGCTTAAGATCTTCTGGGGAGGCCCTGCTCTCGACCCCGCCACTCTCACAAGTGAGGTTGGCGGGGACGAGGAGCAGGGCCTTCTCGGTGGTGGCCCCCCACCTGTGGAACTCACTCCCCGGGGAGATTAGATCGGCGACCTCCCTCCTGGCATTCAGGAAAAAACTGAAGACCTGGGTTTGGGACCAAGCCTTCGGACACACTGGCAGCTAAATTAAGGATCTGACGACAGACAAGGACAAATGGAATGGAATGGATATATGGACTCTGAACCCGAGCATGAGATTGTTTTAATATTTTATTATGCGCTGATGTTTTAATTCTAATTGTTGAACTGCTTTTTGTATTTGTATTACTGTCAATTGTTAGGCATTTAATTATGCCTCCTCTGTAAGCCGCCCTGAGTCCCCCCCCCCCCCCCCCCCCCCCCCCGGGGTGAGAAGGGCGGGGTATAAGTAAATGAAATAAATAAATAAATAAATAAATAAGTTCTCGCAAGGGGTTCTCACATGTCCTCACGTGTCCGTCCTCTTTCTCCTCTCTCCCTCCTGCAGGTCCTGGGCCAGCCATGCCCGCTCTGGCTCCTTGGGGGCTCCTGCCTCCGGCCGCCTGGCCCAGCCCTCCACCTGGCCGGCCGCCCGGCTCCTTCCCCGCTGCCTCCGCCGGCGCCTCCGCCCCACTGGCCGCCTGGCCGCTGCCGCTCTGGCCGCTCCGGCCCTGGTGGGGCTGGGGGCCGCCTTCTGCACCAGGGTCCTCTGCCAGGACGCCAAGCGGATCGAGGTGATCTGCGTGGCCCCCCCGGTCGAGAAGGAGCCCGACTTCGACTGGGCCATGTTCTGGACCTTCCTGCGCCCACAGTTCCTGGCCCTCACAGCCGCCATGTTGGTAAGCATGCACCTCCATCCCTCCTTTCCTCCCTCCTTTTCCGTCTCTCTCTGTCTTTCTCTGCTCCTCACAGAAATCACAATAAGACAATAATAATAATCATAATAATAATACGTCAAAGGGATTTGGGCCTGCATCAACAGGAGTCTAGTGTCTGGATCCTTGGAAGTCATGCTCCCCATGCTCTATTCTGCCTTGCTCAGACCACACCTGGAATCACACTGTGTCCAATTCCCAGCACCACAATTGAAGAGAGATGTTGACTCTAAGCTGGAATGTGTCCAGAGGAGGGCGACTAAAATGATCAAGGGTCTGGAGAACAAGCCCTATGAGGAGCGGCTTAAGGAGCTGGGCATGTTTAGCCTGCAGAAGAGAAGGCTGAGAGGAGACAGAACGAGGGCCTTGTATAAATAAGGGCCTTGCACCGGGATTGTGGCGCAGCTGGCTGAGTGTCAGCTGCATTAAGATCACTCTGACCAAAAGGTCATGAGTTCGAAGCCAGCCCGGGTTGGAGTGGGCTTCTAACCAATTGTGTAGCCTGTTGTCGACCTTTGCAACCCGAAAGACAGTTGCATCTGTCAAGTAGGAAAATTAGGTACCACCTTAAAGTGTGGGGACGATAAATTAACTAATTTATGAAGCCATAAAAAAGACTCCAGCAAAGCATTCCAGCGGGGAAGCATACGGGGAATGCGGAAGTACTTCATCAGTGTCGCAGATGGATGATGAAAGCGACAGCTCCCCTGGCGGCCAGAAAAAGTTAAATAGCCTCTGTGTATGTCTGTATATGTTTGTATGTCAAAAACTGGCATTGAATGTTTGCCATATATGTGTACACTGTAATCCGCTCTGAGTCCCCTGCGGGGTGAGGAGAAGGGCGGAATAGAAATACTGCAAATAAATACATAAATAAATAAATAAAACGAGCCTCTGGCTGGGCAATGCACCTTAGCTGGCACCTCTTAGCATCTACTTAAATTCCCATTAGCAGCGATGTTCACTACCCATAGCATAAATGCTGGTGAATCATATAGCCCACAATCACATATCAAACAACATGCAACAATATGAGACACCTGCACAAATAGATCAAACATGGTTGATCCCAAGCATAGCATCCTGATCCCAGTAATGCCTGGGAGAGGAGAGCTTAAACTGAGGAACCAGGGGTCCCAAGGGTCAGCAGGAGAGCTCTGAGGCCAGCAGATGTTCTCCTTTGTCCACTGGAATCCCCGATCCTTTGACCCCCTCTCCCGTCTCTCCAGTTTGCACTGGGGGCCGCCCTCCTCAACGTCCAGATCCCGCTCCTCCTGGGCAAGTTGGTGAACGTGGTGGCGCAGCACATGCGTGTGTCCGAATACCTGCGCGTGGTGCGCGAACCTGCCATGCGGCTCCTGAGCATCTATGGCCTCCAGGTGAGCATCAGCCGCCCCGTAATGGGGGAGGGAGAGGGGGGCTCTTCTGGGGCCAACGCTGTTTGTCTTGTCAAAGGGAAGGCGGCGCTCTGGGTGACTGACTGACGTCCCTTTCCCCCCCCCCTCCCTCAATCCCCCCTCCCTCCCTTCTCCAGGGGGTATTGACCTTTGGGTACATCCTGCTGCTCTCCTGGATCGGGGAGAAGGTGGCCAACAGTATGCGCAAGCAGCTCTTTGCTTCCTTAATCAGGTAACTCACCGGGGAGCGGACTCTCTCTTATTCCTTGTGGATGGCAGAAATGGTTGTGGTGGGGGCTGGCCTCGGTGTGGAAACAGATGGGGAGTTGTGGGGTGCTGGAGGGGGCCAGGTTGCTGCCCCAGAGCTGTCCCTTTCCATCTGCAGGCCTAGCCGTGGTCAGGGAGCCACATGAGGAGGCCGGGTGGACAGAAAGCTCTCTTTCCCCCTTTCTCTCTCTCTCTCTCTCTTCCCCTTCTGCTTCTATCCCCTGAAGGAAGGAGATAGCTTTCTTTGATGCCAACCAGACGGGGCAGCTGGTGAATCGCCTGACGGCCGACATCCAGGAGTTCAAGTCCTCCTTCAAGCTCGTCATCTCTCAGGTGCTTGGGAGTAGTGGGCAGAGCTCAGGGCATTAAAGGGGAGCTCTGGGAAGGTGGAGACTGTGTGTTGCACCCCAGAGCTGGAAACAGGGCCCTCTTGTTGCAACCCAGATCAGGAAACAAGACCATAAGATATTAATCCACCACACTTGGCTGTAGGAAAAAACAATCCTTTTTTATTGATAAAAATGGCTACAAAATAGAGGAAAATACAAAGTCCAAAAAGCCACAGTAAAAACAGCAGTCAGGAATATCTATGAACTAGATCACAATTCCAAAAGCAGCACTAGAAAAACCTGGAACCTGTTAGCATCTCACTAACCGTACTTGGAAACTAGAAGCCTCTGGGAATGCAGGCCATGGAAACCGGGAAATCTGCCAAGGTAATGCCTCAGTCTAAACGATGCTTGATCTAACAAGAGAGCCCGGGGTGAGACACTTAAAACTAAAGAAACTGTTTAGGGACACGCCTCCAGATTTTGAAGCCTGTGCCTCCCTTTCTTTTAATCTGCTTGACCTTCGCAGACTTTGCGATTCACTCCTGTTTTTCCAAATCTGCCCTCTCCTATCCTCATTAAAACGGGCAGGTGTTAGCTCCTCTGGAGAGTTATCACCACCTGATTCTGAAACATTCTCATCAGGCTGTCCAGTTTCACTTTCCCAGCCACTGCCCTCAGAATCAACAGTTTCCAAACCATCAGGGAAAAATAAGTTGAGTAGCCTGTTCAGTTGCATCAAGAAATACAATCAGAGAATCAGGTTCAAGTTCACACGGAGGCTGAGGGTCAGGTTCATACGGAGGCTGAACCCCAACACCTCTTGTCATTCATACACCACACCTTGGTTTAGGAAGAATACAATCCCTTTTTATTGAATGATGAATATCCATGTCCAGAAAGCTTGCAGAAAATCCAAAGCAGTAATGTCCAGAAAACTCTCAATAGAAATCCATGAACAGATTTAGCCCCTGCTAATCTCACTTGAAGTCAGAAATTCCCTTAGAGACCAGGCCACTGGAAACTGGAAAACCCAGGAGGTTTGTACTTGAACAAAACAATGCTTGCTCTGAGGAAATCCCCCTCGCGGCCACTCTTAAATCCCAGAAACTGATTCTGGCTAACTCTAATCTTTGGTTTTAGTTATCGGATTCTCTCAGACCTACGTAAACATTGAGTCTCCCTGCGGTTCTGGCTTATCTCCAAACTGCGGCTGTTATCATTGACCCAACCAGGTGTCGAGTTATCTTGCAAGCTCGGGCCAGGAGGAAAAGGGAGTGAATTTTCTTCTCTCGGTCTGACAGGAACTTTCTCATGAGAACTTGGCTTTTTCCTTGAAGCCTCTAAATCAAAGCCTGTAGGATTTTTACTGCCCAAAGTGTCTCCATCTTATTTTTTTTAATTTTTTTAATTTATTTTGAACATTTTTACCCCGCCCTTTTCAGCCCCTGGGGGGACTCAGGGCGGCTTACAATTGGCAATAGTTTATTTATTTATTTATTTACTATTCTTATATACCGCTGTATCTCAAGCCCGAGGGCGACTCACAGCGGTTTCCAGAAAGCAAACAACAAAGACAGTAAAAACAGCAGTAATCAATATATCAAAACAGTTAAACTACACAGTTCCATTTCTAGCATTAAACAAACCTCGACACACAATTACCAATGCCGCATAAATACAGAATAACAAATACAACAATTAAACATGAACATTAATAAATAAAGATTAAAACATGGATCACTTCAGCCTCACTATCCAAACTAGGCCCAACAACATTAGCATCAACATTGGCCTCAGCATAATAATAATAATAATAATAATAATAATAATAGGTTGGTTGTCCCCTGTCATGTCTGACTCTGGGGTGTGGTGCTCATCTCCATTTCTAAGCCGAAGAGCCAGCGTTGTCCATAGACACCTCCAAGGTCATGTGGCCAGCATGACCGCATGGAGCGCCGTTACCTCCCCGCCGGAGCGGTACCTATCTACTCACATTTGCATGTTTTTGAACTGCTAGGTTGGCAGAAGCTAGGGCTGACAGCGGAAGCTCACGCCGCTCCCTGGAATCGAACCTGCGACCTTTTGGTCAGCAAGCTCAGCAGCTCAGTGCTTTAACCCACTGCGCCACTGGGGGTCCCAATAATAATAATAATAATAAACCTTTATTTGTACCCCGCGACCATCTCCCGAAGAACTCGGTGCGGCTTACAAGAGGTCGAGCCCAAATACAATAGTAAAAACAGCAGCAACAACAAACAGCAAAATAACTCAGAAAACAAAGCAATAACACTGACAACACACAATGACACAATTAAAAACAATGGCAGGTCCAAATGTAACGACTGAAATTAAAAGTGCTGGGCATGACCAGGTGGAGTGATTGGAGGGGGATGGGCATGCAGATATCCTAGATCTCTGATAGGCAATGCAGTCAAAGATTCAGGCTCAGGTTCACACACAGGCTGAGTCCCAACACTGTGCTTTTACGGCAGGGGTGGAGGTTGGGGGGCCGTGGGAAGGGGCCCCTCCTCCTGGCCTCCCTTCATTCTCCTCTCCGCTCCTCTCGCAGGGCCTCCGCAGCCTGACCCAGACGGTGGGCTGCTTTGTCTCCCTCTACATGATCTCCCCGAAGCTGACGGGGCTCCTGGTGGTGGTGATGCCCTTCCTGGTGGGCGCTGGGGCCTTCATCGGCTCCTCCCTGCGCAAGCTCTCCCGCCGGGCCCAGGAGCAGGTGAGTCCAGCCTGGAGGTGCAGGGCAGGGGAAGGGGCGGGCACATAGGGGCTTCCTGTACTGGCTTTGGGAATCAGGGAAGCATTGTGGGGAGGAGGAAGGGGTTGCTGAACCCCCTCCCCTACTAGATCAGGCCTGGGCAAACTTTGGCCCTCCAGGTATTTTGGTCTCGCAACATCTTTTTAACAGCCCGCAGACTGATAGGAATTGTGGGAGTTGAAGTCCAAAACACTTGGAGGAGAGCCGAAGTTTGCACTAGATGGAGGGACCTGTAGCAGAGTCGTGCATAGCTAGTGCTGTATATGAGCCTATGGTAGGAAGCAGGAGAGGAAACCTGCAGGATGATGCTTTGGTCAGGGTTTTAGGCAGAGAAAGGCCTCCTATTAATAATAATAATCTATCTGTAAAAATAAAAATGTAATGTTAGTTTGTGGGATTAACATAACTCAAACACCACGGGACGAATGGACACCAAATTTGGACACAAGACACCTCTCAGCCCAATGAGTGACCATCACTCATAAAAACACTGAAAAACACAGCTGAAGGGACTTAAAAAGCCCAAAACAAAACAAAAAAACACATTACAATGCATGCACAAAACCATACACACACACACACACACACACACACAGCACATATACACAGACTGGGCCACAGCAACACAGCAACGTACCTTGGGAAGTCAGATCTGGCCACGGTGGTCCACGCTCTTGTCACATCCTGGTTGGATTACTGCAACGCACTCTACGTGGGGTTGCCTTTGAAGACTGCTCGGAAACTACAACTAGTCCAGCGAGAAGCAGCCAGATTGCTCACCGGAGCGACGTACAGAGAGCATACCACCCCCCTATTGCGCCAGCTCCACTGGCTGCCGATCCAATTCTGAGCACAATTCAAAGTGCTGGTTCTGACCTACAAAACCCTATACGGTTCCGGCCCAGTGTACTTGTCCGAACGGATCTCCCTCTACATCCCATCTCGAACTTTAAGATCATCTGGGGAGGCCCTGCTCTTGACTCCACCACTATCACAAGTGAGGTTGGCGGGGACGAGGAGCAGGGCCTTCTCAGTGGTGGCCCCTCACCTATGGAACTCACTCCCCGGGGAGGTTAGATCAGCGACTTCCCTTCTGGCATTCAGGAAAAGATTGAAGACCTGGATCTGGGACCAAGCTTTTGGACAGTCTAGCAGTTAAAGGAAAGATCTGATGATAAACAAGGACAGATGGAATGGAATGGATATATGGACTCTTGCTATTTTATTGTGTATTGATGTTTTTAATTGTAAATTCTTTGAATTGCTTTGTGTATTGTTTGTGAATTGATTCAGGCATCGAATTGTGCCTTTCGTCTGTAAGCCGCCCTGAGTCCCCCTAGGGGTGAGAAGGGCGGGGTAAAAGTAATTGAAATAAATGAAATAAATAAACACATGGCAGGGGACGGATAGTAGTAGTAGTAGTAGTAGTAGTAGTAGTACTGTTCTCTCCCTCCTCTACGTGTGAGGCATCCCTCTGTCAGAGAGCTTCTCTCTCTTCCCCCCCACCCCCCAAGGCAAAGTCATGATTCCTGGCCCTTCCCTACCTCCCCCTTCCCCAAAGGAGGCCTCCTGAGCCCCCTTCCTCTCTTGGTGCAGGTGGCCAAGGCCACTGCTGTGGCAGATGAGGCGCTGGGCAACGTGCGGACGGTGCGGGCCTTCGCCATGGAGCCCAAGGAAATCGAGTGAGTACTCCAAGGAGGGCTCACTCCCTCAGTATCCCCTTCCTGGAAGGGACTAGATGGGATGGATGGATGGGTGGGATCTCAGGCACAGGAGGGAGAGGGTCTCTCTGGGTGAGAAGGGGCACAGGTCAGAGAGTGGCTCCCCGTTGCCTCTTGTTCACAGCTCAGAGGGGCCCTGGGGAGCTCAGAGGTCTTTTCCCCGTCGCCCTGCCCCTCCTGTCCTTCCAGGCGCCCCATCAGCTGCTCTCCTTTTTCCCTTGCAGGCAATATTCCGCAGAGGTTGACCAGTCCAGCCGCCTCAACATGAACCTGGGCATGGGCATTGCCCTTTTCCAGGGCCTCTCCAACATTGCCCTCAACTGTGAGACCCCCACCCTCTTTCCTGCCCGTTTACCCATCTGCCACGGGGGGGTTGGTGCCCCTGGGACTGACCACCGCCCAGGGATCACACCCGGTGGCTCCCACCCCCTTCCACATTGGTGACGGTGAGGTCCCTTCTGCCCAAGCGTTGAGGGAGAGCCAGTTGTGCCCAGTGAGAAACCCTTGAGAGGGTTGTTGTCGGTTTTTTTGGGCTATATGGCCATGTTCTAGAGGCATTCTCTCCGGACGTTTCGCCTGCACCTATGGAAAGCATCCTCAGAGGTAGTGCCAATTTGAGGAGAGCCTTGTCCTGCCCCTCTGCTGTGGTGGGCTTGGCTGCTCCTGAGAGCCTACGTCCTTCCCTTGGAGGCCAGACCTCTTGGCCTTGCACTGCCTGCCTACTTTCTTGCAATTCTGTGGTGGAGGCTTTGCCTTGATGCCCTGCCCAGTGTCTGTTGCAGCCCTCCTTAGAGGACTCCGCAAAGGCCATGGGCCTGCTTTTGCCTGGTCATGGGGGCCCCCTCTTCTGTCCCCTTCTTCTCGGCTTCCCTGACACGCCCTCCACTCCCGCCTCCTGTTGCGTTCTTGTCTCCCCTTCAGGCATTGTGCTGGGCACCATCTTTGTGGGTGGCTCCCTCATGGCTGGTGAAGAGATAACGCCTGGAGACCTCATGTCCTTCTTGGTGTCTTCGCAGACAGTGCAAAGGTAGGGTTCTGGCAGCCTCCCTGCTTTTTGTCCCCTTGGGGCTCCAGGTGGTTTGGGCTCTGGGTGGTGATGCACACTCTTCTTGCCTCCCCTCCCTTCCTCCAGGTCCATGGCAAGCATGTCCATCCTCTTTGGCCAGGTATGTGCATGGGGAGGGGGTGGGTGGGCGGTTGTGAGGGGGGGGGAGCGGGGGTGGGTGGGTTGGGGTGGGGTGGCACAAAGGGCATCATGCGTCATAACTTTGAGGTGGTTTTTGTTTGTTTGTTTTGTTTGGTTGGGTTGGGGGTTTGGTTCTGTATTGTAGTGGGTGGGCCTTTGAGGGGTTTTGAGGTGTGGGGGGGAATGGATTTTTGGCATGTTTGATATGATGTCTGGAGATGGGTGGGAGGTGTCTATGGTGGAATGGTGTCTTGGTTTGGTGTGCAAGCATGTCCATTTGGCCAGGTATGTGCATGGGGAGGGGGTGGGTGGGCGGTTGTGAGGGGGGGGGAGCGGGGAGGTCTTCTTCCATCCCTGAGAACACTGTCAGGGCAGCCAAGGGCTAGTTAAACCTGAGAGAAGCCTCCTCTCCCAGACCCCCCTAGCTCTCCTACCCCGTCCCCCAATTGTGTGCAGATCCCATCCTGTCTGTGGTTGCCTTGCAGGTGCTGCGGGGCATGAGTGCCGGGGCCCGCGTCTTCGAGTTCATGTCCCTGACCCCAGAGACGCCCCTCTGCGAGAGGGAAGAATTGGCCTGCAGCATGCTCACTGGGCGCCTCGAGTTCCAGGACGTCACCTTCAGGTGAGTGAGTGGAATAAGTTTTGAGTGTTGAGACCTAGTTGCATTGTCCCTTTAAATGGCAAACCCCAGAACCTCTAGGCCAGGCATTATTATTATTATTATTATTATTATTATTAAACTTTATTTGTACCCCGCTAGCATCTCCCGAAGGATTCGATGCGGCTTACACAGGCCGAAGCCCCAAAACAAAACAACAATACAATCTAAGCAAATCAAACAATTAAAAACAGAATAAAGCAAAATAAACAACAGGCACAATACAGTAAACACAATAAAACTGGGCCGGGCCAGAGCAATGGGTACAAGATTAAAAGTGCTGATGTGACAGGAGGTGTATATAGGGCTTCCAGGGCAAGTGCGATGTGCGATGTGCAGCAATCATTGGTTCTGATAAAGTGCTTATGGGACTTGGTGGTGGAGATTTCCTAATCTGGGAAGGCGCATCGGAAAAGCCAGGTCTTCAAGTTCTTTCTGAAGACAGCCAATGTAGGGGCCTGTCTAAGGTCTTTGGGGAGGGTGTTCCAGAGTCGGGGGGCCACCACGGAAAAGGCCCTGTCCCGCGTCCCCACCAAGCGCGCTTGCGACGCCGGTGGATCACGAGCAGGGCCTCTCCAGATGACCGAAGAGAACGTGTGGGTTCGTAGATGGAAATGCGGTCACGCAGGTAGGCTGGTCCCAAACCGTTCAGGGCTTTGTAGGTAAGCACCTGCACCTTGAATTGGGCTCAGAAAATAAATGGCAGCCAGTGGAGCAAATGCTGGCCTTCCAGGTGTTTTCGACTTCATCTCTCACAGTTCTCAACAGCCTACGAGCTGTTAGGAATGGTGGGAGTTGAAATCCAAAATACCTGGAGGGTATTTTGCTTTAGAGGATGAAGTCACTCCTCCCATCCCTCCTCTCCCCCCCCCCCCCCACATTGTGCAGACTGGCTGGGGCTGATCTGTACGGAAGGTCCCCGGTCCCCTTGCCCTCTGTGTGCAGATAGGCCAGGCTTGCAGGGTGCCTCCCATGATGACATCTCCACTGAGCCTGGGATGGGCCCAGCTGGGTCTCTCTTTGCCATAGCACTTCCCAAGAGTTGCCGCTTCCTTCTCTGCCGCAGCTACCCCACGCGGAAGAACTTCCCGGTGCTGAAAAACTTCAACCTCACCATCCCGGCCAACAAGACGGTGGCCATTGTGGGGCAGTCAGGAGGAGGTGAGTCTCCCTCGACTCGATTGCAAAGAGCTTGGCTTGTGTTTCTGTGAGAGTAGCTGTGTCTTACACATCTGAGAGAGGGTCTCGAATTCTTGTTAACGAGCAGCCCATTCTTGACCCCTTGGTATGACCCTTCCTTCTCCGGCTTCTTCATCTCTTGCTCTCTTCTTTGTTGTTTGATGATTGGTTCTGTGAACACAGAACTTTTTTGTTTATTGAATGCTGCTTTATCTATGCTTTATGTTTCTAGTCCCTTCCGCTTTCACTTCTTTTGGGGACCTGAGATGGGTCTTCCTTCCATCTGAGCAGCAGTTTCCCCAGCAGGCCTTGCTGAAGGCTGTTAGTGTTGGGCAAGTGGGCTTATTACCAAAAGACCCTCCTCATAAACGTATAGCAGCATAAAGACCCTCATAAATGCAGAGTAGCTTAGCAGCACCAGCATAACCCAGCACTAATAGCCCAAAGTGACAAAAAGAACAAAAACACACAGAACAGAAGATTTTCCCAGGCTCAGCCAGGCCTTCAAATGAAGGTGGTCAGTTGAAACATTCACACCTAGCTCCAGCAGAGAAGAGCTCTTTGCCCCACCTCAGCCATTCCACAGATATATAAACCCATTTTCCTAGTTCCAACAGACCTCACTACCTCTGAGGATGCTTGACATAGATGCAGGGGAAACGTCAGGAGAGAATGCCTCTAGAACATGGCCCTATAGCCCGAAAAAACCCATAAGAACCTAGTGATTCCAGCCATGAAAGCCTTCGACAATGCACAGAACAATGTTCTCTCTTCCTTCGAAGGCCTTTCTTTATGGCAAAATAATATGGTTGCATTATTTACAAAAACAAGCTTTCCATAACACAAATGAAGTTCATTATACTTCCTTCTTTGCTTCCATGCTGGGCTTCTTTCTCATGCAGATAAAAAGATTTGCTCTCACAGAGGCCCTTCTCACACAGGAGTTTCACACAGCAGCCTTTTACACACAGCAGACTTCACACTGGAGCTTTACACACAAGGCCTTCAAACTGAGGCTTCTGTCACCAAAGCCTTCTCACACCAGGCCTCTCACACACTGTGGTCTAGTAACTCTGAGGTTTGCCTCACACTGAGGTCTCTCTCAGAATGCAGTCTCTTTGTACTGAGGGCAGCTAACACTGAGGCATTCTCATACTGAGGAAAACTAACACCGGAGTCTCCTCATACCGAGGCCTTCGTCCCACTGAAGCCTACTCATACTGAGGGCAATTAACACTGAGGCGTACTAAGCTACAGGCACGCTAGCTTATATTGAACTGCAACTTTTGCTAAGTCATTGTATCCATTTAACCCTTTCAGTACATGACTCACATTTCTGAAATTAAAAATATCTAGTTAATTTTTAATATTTCTGGCAGAGTGTGCTGTCGCGCCTGGGGCTATAGAGAAAGAGGCATGGACGTGACTTCTTTCCCCAGGGAATTGCTTCTTGCCCTCCTTTAGGGAAACTGGAACTCCCAAGGACCAGAACACAACAAGTAACTCGAAATGGTGTTTATTGTTGACAATTAATTCTCTTTCTTAGGCACAAACTTGATGTTTCAACAGGGAAAAACACTTTATAAACTCTAAAGTCCAGGGTCCTAGGAGTTATAAGCTGAGAAGCTTTTCCTGTTCCCTCTCTCTCAATGGCTGTGAATGCCGGAGCAAACCACAACCCCAGTTCAGTGGCCTAAGTTGAAGGACAAGACCTTCCTATGGTGCCAAAGAACCTCAGGTAGCCCTCAAGGCTCCTGCCGTTGCCTGCACCAAGCTTTGCCAAAATAACATCAAGCCCAGGATTTGTCACCCAATCTGCCTGGCGGAGGTGTATCCAGACAAGCAGTCGTGGAATAGGAAAAAGATCTACAAAATCACAAAATCAAAATCACACAGAGAAAAGCCTTTCATAGAGTTTACCTCGCACTGAGGTCTCTCTCAGAAAGCAGCCTTTTGGTACTGAGGGCAACTAACACTGAGGTGTTCTCATACCGAGGAAAACTAACACTGGAGCCTTCCCATACTAAAGCCTTCTCATACCAAGGCCTTCCTCCCACTGAGGCCTACTCATACTAAGGGCAACTAACACCGTGGCGTACTAAGCTACAGGCACACTTGCTTGTATTGAACTGCAACTTTTGCTGAGTGATTGCATTCATTTAACCCTTTCAGTGCTTGACTCACATTTTGTATTTATAAGTACCTAGTTAATTTTTAATATTTCTGACGGTTAGTGCCTGGCCTCTGGCTGCCACCCCACGTGCCCTTGCCTTTGGAGCCCATGGGAGCAGCTCAGAGGCGTTGTGGCCCACCTCACGCTTCCCTTCCCCTCTCCTTCCCAGGGAAGTCGACCGTGGCGGCCCTGCTGGAGCGCTTCTACGAGCCCACGGAAGGTGCCATCTTCCTGGACGGGAGGGACATCTGCACTCTGGACCCCTCCTGGCTCCGCGGCGAGATCATCGGCTTCATTAACCAGGTGAAGGCGGGAAGCGTGGCGTGGAAGGCGTGGAAAGCGTGGTTGCCCACAGAAGAGTGTTCAAAGAGGGGAGGAAGCGCAAGCCTTGCTGAACTTTGGGACTGAAGACCATGCAAGCCTTCCTCTCTTGCCCCAAACGGCAGAGCAGGACTTTGTGCAACTACAGATGCCAAAAACAACACAAGACAGGATTGGGCATTCTGCTGAGTGGTTTTGTGGAGGGAGGTGGCTTAGAATCATAGAATCATATAAGTTGGAGGAGACCATAAGGGCCATCTAGTCCAACCCCCTTCTGCCATGTAGGAAAATCAAAGTACCCCTGTACAGGCCATCAATCCTGTTTAAAAGCCTCTAAGGAAGGATCCTCCACCACACTCAGGAGCAGAGAGTTCCACTGCTGATCACTTCTTCTTATGGGTTGTTGTAGGTTTTTCCAGGCTATATGGCTATGTTCTAGAGGCATTATCACCTGACGCTTTGCCTGCATCTATGGCAAGCATCCTCAGAGGTAGTGAGGTCTGGTGGAACTAGGAAAAGCGGGGTTTATATATCTGTGGACAATTTCAACAGAAAGGAGGAAACCATGAAAATGAACACAATCTGGCTACCAGTATTTAAAAACTCTAAAATTGCAACAGCACAACATCAGAGAGGAAACAAACAAGGGCATCTAATCACCTCTCAACAAAAGATTGCCCCAGGCACTGCCAGGCCATCAAATGCTAATGAAGGTGGTCAGTTGAAACATTCACCCCTAGCTCCAGCAGACAAGAGTCCTTTGTCCCATCCTGGTCATTCCACAGATATATAAACCCATTTTCCTAGTTCCAACAGACCTCACTACCTCTGAGGATGCTTGCCATAGAAGAGAATGCCTCTAGAACATGGCCACATAGCCCGAAAAAAACTACAACAACCTAGTGATTCTGGCCATGAAAGCCTTTGACAATTCTTCTTATGTTCAGGAGGTTCTTCCTAATGTTCAGTGGAATCTCCTTTCCTGTCATTTGACCCCAGCCTGGGCTGCAATTTGTGGAAATGGAGTCTTTGTGTATCCCAATGAGAGGCTGGGAGTAGCATTCTGAGCTGGGGAAAAAGGCCTGGGGTTTCTGGGGTCATGGGTTAGGCTTAGCCCCCCCCCCCCTCCTCCTTGGCTCTGAGGCCCCGCTGCCCTCTTCCCAGGAGCCCGTCCTGTTCAGCACAAGCATCCTGGAGAACATCCGCTTCGGCAGGCCGTGCGCCTCGGAGGCCGAGATCCACGCTGCCGCCCGCCTTGCCAACGCCGACGGGTTCATCCGCAGCTTCCCTGACGGATACAACACCGTCGTGGGTGAGTTGGGCACGGGGAAGCAGCTTGGAAAGCAAAAGAGGTTCGGCTGGGCTCATTTTCTCCTGAAACGTTATGCTGAGACTCTCCGGACATTTTGTGCCACTTGTTTTCAACTCTTTCTTTTGTTTTGACCCATTTCATGGTGTTGCCGTGTGTTTCAACATGAAAGTAGTGCTTGGGATGTGGGCCCTGCCAGGACACATTCCTCCAAATCAGCTTGGGAGTATGGAGGGAAGCCCCTTCCCCTGTGCTGACGCCTCTTGTCCTGCCAGGGGAGCGGGGAGTGACCTTGTCCGGAGGGCAGAAGCAGCGGGTGGCCATTGCCCGGGCCCTCATCAAGAACCCCAAAATACTGATCCTCGACGAGGCCACCAGCGCCCTGGACGCCGAGTCGGAGCACATAGTGCAGGAGGCACTTGACCGGGCAGTGGCCGGCCGCACGGTGCTGGTCATTGCCCATCGGCTGAGCACCGTGAAGGACGCCGACCTCATTGTGGTGCTTTCCAAGGGCCAGGTGGCGGAGGTGAGTCTGCAGCAATGGCCTGCCCAAAGGGAGGAAGGAAGGGTTAAGGTTCAGTGGGTTGCTGTGAGTTTTCCATGTTCCAGCAGCATTCTCTCCTGATGTTTTGCCTGCACCTGACTGGCGTCATTAGAGGTCTGTTTGCAGTGAAGCAAGTGGAGTGTGTTTGTGTGTATACAAACACACACACACACACACTCCACTTGCTTCACTGCAAATAGACCTCTAATACTGCCAGTCAGGTGCAGGCAAAACATCAGGAGAGAATACTATGTGTGTGTGCGTGTATATATATATTTATATGTGTGTGTGTGAAATGTCCACTCCAGGGTGGAAGAAAGAACCCACGTCTGTTTAAAGCACCTGTGACGGTTGCAGTTAACAAGCTTGAGTAGCATTGAGTAGCCATGAAGTTGCAAAGTCAATCAGTGAGGTAGCCTGGATGTTGTTGCCTGGAGGCATCCTCTGTTTGGGAGGGGTTAACTGGTACTTTCTTGCTTTCTAGAGTTCTCCAGTTTCTGAGTGGTGTTCAAATATTTGAAAACTAAAAAAAAAACCCTCCAGCTTCGTTAACATCTTGTCATTCTAAATAGGCCACTGTGTGTGTGTGTGTGTGTGTGCGTGTCAGGAGCGATGTGAGAAACTGGTGTGAGAGAACTGACTCTCTGCAAGGACCATGCCCAGGGGACACTGGGATGTTTTCCCATAGTTTTAATTTTATGTTGTCTTTTGATAATGTTAAATGTTTGTTTTATTTTAATTGCTTGTATTGTTGTGATTATTGCTTGTATTGTGTGTTTGGGCTCGGCCTCATGTAAGCCGCACAGAGTCCCTTGGGGAGATGGTAGCGGGGTACAAATAAAGTGTTGTTATTATTATTATTATTATTATTATTATCCTCCTTTGGAAGGCTTCCCTCATGTATCTGCATGGGAAGCTGGAGCTGACAGATGGGAGCTCACCCTGCTCTCTAGATTCGAAGCACCAACCTTTTGGTCAGCAGTCCTGCTGGCACAAGGCTTAAACCCATTGAGCCACTGAGGGCTGCTTAATAGGCCACGTCAAGTGGTGGGAGTCCTCCTGACCCCTGGTTTGCTCCCAGAAATCTTCCATGTTGTATTTATTTGACTTATCCCTGTCCTCAACCTGTCAAAGCAAGCCCTCAACAAAGCTTACAGTTAAATAGAGGGCTGAACAATCCAGGGAAATGGCCACATTACATATAGCAAACACTACATAAAGTACAATGGAATAAATAGCCAAAGCTTGGTGGATTGGAAGCCCTCAGATTCCCTTCGTTGAGGTTATTTGTGTGGCAGATGGGTGCAGGTCCTGGCCCGCTTGTGGCTTATTTGGGGGTGGTCAGCCCTGGCCTGCACCCCGGTTCACGAAATCCCCGTCTCCCCTTCCAGGCTGGGACGCACGCCGAGCTCCTGAGGAAAGGCGGCCTCTACGCGGAGCTGATCCGGCGCCAAACCAAGGACGGCGTCTGAAGCAGGAAAAGCAGCTTGGAACCCAGAGGGAGGGGAGCGTTGCCCCTCAGTTGCACCTTCTTGCAGCCGGCCTCCGCTGCATCCTCATGCACCCCCCCTTGCACCCCTGTTGTTTTGGGTTGGGGGGGGGGAGGGCAAAAGAGGCTCTGGGCCCGTTGCCCTGGAGTCCGGCATTGGGGATTTTTTGCCCCAGGAAACTCTGCCTCGGAAAAAGATGTATGGAGTTCTAGCTGGTGTTTCTCCAATACAACAGTTTTGTATTTGGATGGTGTGTCCTGCCGTCTGTTTTGTTCGCTTGGGCTGAGGGGACGAACAATGTTGCAGGTGCGTCTACATAGCAGAATTAATGCAGTTTGATGCCACCTCGATTACTGTGGGGTCCTGGGGGACGAAGTCTTCATATCTGCCACTGTGCAGTTAGTAAACCATATGGATGTGAAATAGGTTAGTGAAGATATGGGCAAACTTGGGCCCTCCTTCCAGGTGTTTTGGATTCCAACTCCCATCATTCCTAACAGCCTCACACCCTTTCCTTTTTCCCCTCAGCCGCTTAAGCTTAATCTAGTCCAGGGTTGCCTAAGCCTACCAGAACATTGCACATTTCAGAGCAATAGTTCCCCTATAGGTGTAAAAATATGGGTTCTTGCACAGATCCCAGGTCTCGGCGGTGGCCAGGAGAGCTTTTGCGCAATTAAAACATGTGTGCCAGCTGCGCCCGTACCTTGGGAAGTCAGATCTGGCCACAGTAGTCCATGCTCTTGTTACATCCCGATTAGATTACTACAACGCACTCTATGTGGGGTTGCCTTTGAAGACTGTTCGGAAACTTCAATTAGTCCAGCGAGAGGCAGCCAGAGTCACCGGAGCGTCATACAGGGAGCATACCACCCCCCTGCTGTGTCAGCTCCACTGGCTACCGATCCAGTTCTGAGCACAATTCAAAGTGCTGGTTTTGACCTACAAAACCCTGTACGGTTCTGGCCCAGTGTATCTGTCCAAACGCATCTCCCTCTACGTCCCATCTCGGAGTCTGAGATCCTCTGGGGAGGCCCTGCTCTCGACCCCACCTCTGTCACAAGTGAGATTGGCGGGGACGAGGAGCAGGGCCTTCTCAGTGGTGGCCCCTCACCTATGGAATTCACTCCCCGGGGAGATCAGATCAGCAACATCCCTCCTTTCATTCAGAAAGAAATTAAAGACGTGGATGTGGGACCAGGCGTTTGGGCACTCTGGCAGATGAATAAGGGACTGTGACGATGGATAGGAATTGGACAAGGTGGAACGAAATATGAACTCTGAGTTGGCGAACGCTGTGTCTGAGATTGGCTATTGATAGTGTGATATATTGTTGTTTTTAATTGTTTTAATTGTTGACCATTTAATTGCTGGTTTTATATGTTCTTGTATTTGTGTAGGCACCAAGATGTGCCTTTTTGTAAGCCGCCCTGAGTCCCCCCTCGGGGGTTGAGAAGGGCGGGGTAGAAGTACACGAAATAAATAAATAATTGAGTGGCTGAGGGGATGACACAATGCAGGAGCAAAGCAGGCCAGTTTGCGTGGGCCAATTTGAGCAGAAACCTGTGCCCTTTAAAAGAAATGCCCCTTGTTCTTCCTCCCGCAGGGATGGCTGCCCAACTGCTCCCTTACTTTCCATGCTAGTGGCAATTACCCATTTGCCCTGGGTGCCTCTTGTTTCAGGGTGAACCATTGCGTTTAGCAGTGTGTGAAGGGCGGTGAGACAGAAAACAATAATTGGCTGAAATGATTCCTGTAGCGCAGGCATGGACAAACTTCTGCCCTCCAGGTGTTTTGGACTTCAACTACCACCATTCCTAACAGGGGCTGTTAGGAATTGTGGGAGATGAAGTCCAAAACACCAGGAAGGCCTAATTTTGCCCATGCCTGCTGTAGGGCGTTTCTACCAATGACTTTTTAATCCAGGCCAGAATGCCCCCGCCTCCCATGCCCCACAATGGTATGCTAGACTTCATGTTTCATGATTGACAAGAGAAAAGGGAGAGGAAGAAACATCCAGATGTAGCAGTACCTTAAGGGAGCTGATCGGAGATTCCTGAAACGGGAAGGCCGAGGTCGGCCTCCAAGATCAGCTCCTTCTGATCCTGGTACGTCGCTCATTTTACATTTGTTATCATGACCTAACGTATGTTTTTGGAGCCGGAAACGATTAGATCCCAATTTGGTCAGTGGAGGCAGCTTATACCACTTTATTTTGGAAAAGGCCAACAGAGGCAATGTTTGTCTCAGTAAGAGTCATTTGTGCTCCGCGCAAGAGGTGGTTCCCAGACCTGCCCCCTTCATCTCCTGAGCACTCACTGCTTCTTCTTCTGGACGTGGGCGCAGTCGTACTTGCCCCGCACTATCTTGAGCTTGACTCCTGGCAGGTCCTGCGTCCTGCCGCCCTCCACCAGGACGATGTTGTGCTCCTGGAGGTTGTGCCCTTCCCCGGGGATGAAGCAGACCACTTCTTTGCCGTTGCTCAGCCGCACGCGGGCGCACTTCCGGTTGGCCGAGTTGGGCTTCTTGGGCTTGCGGATCATGGTCTTGAGCACCACCCCCTTGAGCTGCGGGTGGCCCCCCAGCGGGCCCACCTTGGGAGGGGGGCGCTTGCGGTGGCCCAGCCAGTGCATCTGGTTCAAGGTCGCCATAGGACAGACGGGTGGTGACAACAGGGGTACTTGGGGTGCCAAACGGAGGGGCAACAGGAAGGAGCGACCAGATGAGGCAGCCAGGGCTCCTGGGAGGAAACAAAGGACATGGCTTTAGCTCAGGCATGGGCAAACTTGGGCCCTCCAACTGTTTTGCTTCGAACTCCCACAATTCCTAATAGCCTGTGGAGGGCCCAAGTTTTCCCATATTTGCTTTAGCTCCTCCCTCATGCCTCTCACACACAAACAAGCCAATCACAACAAAACAAGCATCACACGGACACGGAAAAATCAGGCAGTCCTCCCTGCCTCCTTTTACAATCTTTGCTATAGCCCCCCCTCTCATGTTTATCCACCAATTAATTAATAACCCAGAGAAAAGGCAGTGTACCTACGCTGTAGAATTAAGACAGTTTGATTTTATTTACTTACTTATTTACGACATTTATATGCCGCCCTTCTCATCCCAAAGGGGACTCGGAGCAGCTTACAAGTAAATACAATATATTATATTTTTACCATAGCACAATATTAATATTATATATTACATTGTACTATAACATTATACTGTAATATTAGCAATACTACATTTAATATAATATATATATATATATTAGTATTATATTGTATTACATTATAATATATGTATATACAATATATTATATTATTTTGTCTTATATTGTGTACTATATTATATAATAATAATAATAATAATAATAATAATAATAATAATAATAATAATAATAACAACAACAACACTTTATTTGTACCCCACTACCATCTCCCCAAGGGACTCGGTGCAGCTTACATGAGGCCGAGTCCAAACACAACAATACAAGCAAATTAAATTATTATAAGCACAGTACAGGAGACAAGATGGACCTGCCTTCCTGGCCCCTCTCTTCACTCTGATCTCAGAGCAGGGGTTGGTGCTTGGGGGGGGGGGGGGGGGGGCTTCCATTCACTTTAACAGGTGTGACTCGATGCTATGGAATCGTAGGAGTTGTAATTGTGCCAGCTCTTTAGCCTTCTCTGTGCTGATGCCTCACTAAACTACAACACCAGAGCTTCCCAAATTGAGATTTGCAACATGTTTGTGTCATCTGCAGCGTTCAGGTGTTTCACACGAATATGAGAGACCTCTGAATCTATTTCAAACAATATACACCACTTTTAAAGATACCAATAAAAGGTTTTCAAAAGATATGCTGCAACTCCATACATTTTGTATACAAAATGTGTAGGTTTGACTTCCAATTTGCGGGTTGAATTTAATTACTGTGCCACCAAATGGTGCCTGTCTGACAAGAATGTTGTCAACATGGAATGTTTGGAGACCTCTGCCCCATGGACCCTGCCTTCCAAAGCCCACAAACCCAGCCCAGAGCCCCCAGCTGGCCTTCAGCAAGACCTACCCCACGGCAGGGCAGGGGGCCACGCCAACAGGGCCCTCAGCAGCCCCGTAGAAGTCATTATGAAGGCCCCTGTTCCTCCTCCGCAATGCTGGAGCCCTGGGGAGAGAGAAGATGACAAATTAGTCCCATCTATCTGTTGATGTGTCTATCAGCTACCCCTCAATATCATCTACCCATCAGTTATCTATATCTATCCATCAATGATTTGTTGGAACAACTACATCTTGCACAAGTTAGCAATCATCAAGGAAATATAGGCAGATGAGTTAGCTGGCAGAGAAAGCCCTCCTTCCCTCATTGCCCTCCTTGTTTGCCTCTCTTTCTATTCTCTCCTGATTGTTAGACTGGTACTCCTCAAGGTCACGCCTCTTTTTGTTCAAAGTATCCAGCATTATCATGGGGTGTCTGCACCCTACACCACTGGAGAAATTACACTGCTTAGCCGGTATTTCACCACCTGACATCCGCCGGGAAGTAGCAGCCAATAGTGAAAGGACCAAGGCAGAGACATCCCCAGTTCATCCCCTGTTTGGGTATCAGCCAGCACATCAATGACTTAAATCAAGAAATAGTTTTCTGAGATCTACAGAGACACTTGCTGGAACACCTCAGCAAGCGAGAGTCCAAAAGTGGCAGGCTCAAACCCAGAACCTCAATCCATGGCTGATACCAATTGAGAGACTCTCCCCTGGGTACACAGAAGACTGGGCGACTTGGAAGGCGCTGAACAGGCTGTGCTCTTGCACCACGAGATGCAGAGCCAACCTGAAGAAATGGGGCCACAAAGTGGAATCCACGACATGCGAGTGCAGAGAGGAGCAAACCACTGACCACCTGCTGCAATGCAACCTGAGCCCTGCCACATGCACCATGGAGGACCTTCTTGCGGCAACACCAGAGGCACTCCAAGTGGCCAGATACTGGTCAAAGGACATTTAATCAACTACCAAACTCACAAATGTTGTATTTTGTCTATTTGTTTGCTTTGTTCTGTTAGAAATGTAATATAATTGACTGGTTGCTCTGACACGACAAATAAAATATCTCTATGGCTGGATGGCTCTTTGTCAGGAGGACTTTGATTACGTTTTCTTGCCCTGATGAAGGGAGTTGGATTGGATGGCCTTAATTATTTTGTGTTGGTCATAGGTGTTCTGTGTGGGAAGTTTGCCCCAGTTCTGTCATTTGTGGGGTTCATTCAGAATAGTCTTTGATTGAAGGTGAACTATAAATCCCAGTAACTACAACTCCCAAATGTCAAGGTCTATTTTCCCCAAACTCCACCAGTGTTCACATTTGGGCATATTAGGTATCCCTGCTAAGTTTGGTCTGGACCCATCATTGTTTGAGTCCACAGTGCTCTCTACATGTAGGTGAACTACAACTCTAAAACTCAAGGTCAATGCCCACCAAACCCTTCCAGTATTTTCTTTTGGACATGGGAGAATTGTAGTGCACCAAGTTTGGTTCAATTCGATCGTTGGTGGGGTTCAGAATGCTCTTTGATTGTAGGTGTACTATAAATCCCAGCAACTACAACTCCCAAATGACAAAATTTTTTTGAGTGAAGGACATACATTGGGTTGTTAGGTGTCTTGTGTCCAAATTTGGTGTCAATTCGTCCAGTGGTTTTTGAGTTCTGTTATTCCCACAAACGAACATTACATTTTTATTTATATAGATAGATGATAATAGATTATCTATCTATCAATATACTGTATTGTCGAAGGCTTTCATGGCTGGAATCACTCGGTTCTTGTAGGTTTTTTTCGGGCTATATGGCCATGTTCTATATAAGGGGTTTATATATCTGTGGAGCTGGGCCTTAGGGAAGGCTGAGCGAAGGAAGATCGATGCTTTTGAACTGTGGTGTTGGAGGAAAGTGCTGAGAGTGCCTTGGACTGCGAGAAGATCCAACCAGTCCATCCTCCAGGAAATAAAGCCCGACTGCTCACTGGAGGGAAAGATACTAGAGACAAAGTTGAAGTCCTTTGAATGCCACATCATGAGGAGACAGGAAAGCCTAGAGAAGACAATTATGCTGGGGAAAGTGGAAGGCAAAAGGAAGAGGGGCCGACCAAGGGCAAGATGGATGGATGGCATCCTTGAAGTGACTGGACTGACCTTGAGGGAGCTGGGGGTGGTAACGGCCGACAGGGAGCTCTGGCGTGGGCTGGTCCATGAGGTCACGAAGAGTCGGAGACGACTGAACGAATGAACAACAACAACATATCTGTGGAATGACCAGGGTGAGACAAAGGGCTTTTGTCAGTTGGGCTAGGTGTGAATCTTTCAGCTGACCACCTTGAGTAGCATACAATGGGCTGACTGTGCCTGGAGCAAACTCTTCTTGAAAGGTGATTAGATGTCCCTGCCTGTTTTTCTCTCTGCTGTTTTTGCTGTTGCAATTTTTGAATTTTTTAATACTGGTAGCCAGATTTTGTTCATTTTCATGGTTTCTTCCTTTCTGTTGAAATTGTCCACATGTTTGTGGATTTCAATGGCTTCTCTGTGGAGTCTGAGATGTGGATGACACTTCACCATTTGGAGCCATGGAGAAGAAGAACTCAACAGGTTCCTGGACCATCTAACAGCATCCACCCAAACATCCAATTCACCATGAAAAAGGAAAAGGAAGGAAGACTGCCTTTTCTAGATGTTCTAGTCATCTATAAACCAGATCAACAATTGGGTCACACCATTTACAGAAAACCCACACACACAGAGAGATATCTACATAAAAACTCCAACCATCACCCAAGTCAAAAAAGAAGCCCCATTAAAGCCAGGCTGGTTCATCAGGTGCTCTGCTATGGCTGACTTCTCTGGCTGAAGTAGTATGCAGTGCCTTTCATGTTCCTTGATTCGTGTTTGGGCAATGCTGCGTTTGGTGGTCCATAGCAGAGCACCTGATGAACCAACCTGGACACAGCATTTTATCTGAGAACACAGAAATTTATTTATTTATTTATTTATTTATTTTTATTTATTTACTCTATTTGTATACCGCATATATCAGCCTGAGGCGGCGACTCAATGCGGTTTACAATAAAAAGCAACACTAAACAATGTATGAGACACACAATACAGACAAACACATAATCATCAACGCCACACTTAGAATCAGATTCCGATCTCAAGATCCTTTTTCCATTCCTTGTCCGATGCCGTCATTATTGAGTTAGTTGTTACTACATGGTTATCCGAAAGCCTGCTCGTAGAGCCACGTCTTCACCCTCCTCCGAAACACCAGTAACGAAGGGGCCTGCCTGATGTCCACCGGTAACGCATTCCATAGCCGAGGGGCCACCACCGAGAAGGCCCTGTCTCTCGTGCCCGCCAGTCGCACTTGTGACGCCGGCGGAACCGAGAGCAGGGCCTCCCCGGAAGATCTTAACGCTCTTCCCGGTTCGTAGGAGGAGATGCGTTCGGAGAGGTAAGTGGGGCCGGAACCGGAAATGCTGGACCACTCTCACAACCACCATGTCAGACCACACAGAGAAGCCATTGAAATCCACAAGCATGTGGACAATATCAACACAAAGGAGGAAACCATGAAGATGAACAAAATCTGGCTACCAGTATTAAAAAACTCTGAAATTACAACAGCAAAACAACAGAGAGGAAACAACCAGGCACATCTAATCACCTTGTTTGTTTCCTCTCTGTTGTGCCTTGCAACTGTTGCT